CTTTTTCTTTGTTGCTGTTGTTTGTGTTTGTGTTCCCTGAGCCCCCGACGGGCTCCCATCACTTCATTAGTTCAACGTGACGCGTCTGCGAAGAAAACTTTCTATAAAACACGACGGTGTGAACTTTGCCCGAGGCTGCACACTGCTGCTGCTGCTGCTGCTGCTGCTGCTGCTGCTCGCTGTGGAAAATTCCCAGGTTTGATCTTCAGCAGAAAACAACAAATGATCTGCAAACAAAAATAATTATAAGATCTACTCAGGAACAAGAGAACAGTATAATTTGAATTCAAAGTAATGACAGCATGAGATCAAGATGCACTGAATGAGACCACAGAGGTCGTTGCAGATGTCGAACATGAAAACTGAACGAGGTTGACTTCGCTCCGGAGTCAGAATTATTCAGAATCAACCTCCTGAGATGTTTTGTGTCGCAGCAGCGGTGAAGCTCCGCCACAGCTCCAAGTCCTGAAAGTTACTGGACAAATGTCTTCAAACACTTTCAGAAATTCAAATGAATATTCAAATCATCAAACAGGAACAACAGCCTCCATATCTGCTTTAAATAGAGCGTGTCAGCAACGTCTCTCTGTCAGAGATCATCTCCATGAACTCTTTCACATTCTGTCTCCTGCCTTTTTCAAACGTGGCTCATTTATTTAACCGGCAGCTTTTACTTTGAAACCATAAGATTCTCGCCTCTCGTAACACGGATCCTTAACTTTTCCTCGTTTCAATCGATTTATACACTTTTAACTTTCTTTCTTTGCTTTATGTGCGTTTACTTACTGAGATAAAAAAAAATACCATCTGTTGTAATTTCTATAACTTCCTTTATAGAAACACGGACTGTGTTGATATATTGATAAAACTCGTTGCTCACCGGTTCGTCTCCGCAGCCTCGTTCGATCTCACAGCAAACTTTTACTAACTTCATTACAGAAAAAAACTTCAATGCACTAAGTGGTGAAGTTGAAGTCATGCGACGGAGGTTGTTTGTGCATTTTATACACACAGGACATATTTATATACAGGATTCTGAGTCAGCTTGTTTTCTGAATTTTATCGTCTTCCATCCTGGAATGAAGGTTTTTGTGTCTCTCCCTGGAAACAAAGGATTTTATCACCTTTAAAGATTCAAACGCACAAAAAGAAAGAAAAATCTATCCACCGACACTACGACACAGCGATGCATTCATTATTATTCCTTATTTTGTAATGAGCAGATCAATCTGTTGTCAGAATTAGTCTCCACTAATCCAGTTTGATGTAATCCAAACCTTCTCTTCAGGCCTGAGGCAGAGGGTGATTCCCTTGACTGACAATTACGGATAATTACTGCGTCAGAGTGAAAGCTTTACTTAACAAGCTGTGTCCTGAATTACCTATAATTGACGTGGTCATTTTATAAAATCATTGACGATTTTTGACGACTCTTTTTGCTTTTCCAGATGTTCGCAGGGCGACAGATGTGACCCGCGTCCTCTGATTTACGACTTTAGGGAAATCGGCCCGAGGCCACTCGGGTCCACAGAGACTCGGAGGAAATGTCTTGTTTTAGCGAAACACGACTGAACGAACTGATTTTGATCTGTTGGAGGACAAAGATGTGAAAACTAATTACAAACTATGTTGTTATTTAAGTTGAATAAACCAAATCAGATAGAGTGGCAATAATAACTGGGTTTATTTCAAATAAGCACAGCCTGACAAGAGTCAATATATTATAAAATAGTTTAGTTTCCTGTTGCAGGTCCGAAAGGAGCAGAATTAACAGTGAGACATTTCAAATTGACAGATCCATCATTAAAAATCCATTAGAAAATATCCAGACTGAGAAATGTTGCTGAACCCCGGCTTCTTCTATCTCCACTTTAAAAACAACGACATGGCGCCTGACGCCCAATGAATTTTTATTTTGTCAATTATTTTAATTATGAAAACCACAAAATCAGCACATTTGTCCTGGATGACCTGGTGATGACTTCAAATAAATGTCTAGAGTATTCTTTTCTGGTTTGATCTTACTTTAGATTTTTTTTTTTTATTATAGTGCCAGAATACATTATACATTTATCTATAATTTGACTCAATTAAGACTCAATAATACATTAAAGTAGCTGTGTTCATTCAGTGCGTATTTACCATACATACTTAAAACGAGCTTTATAAGAATCATAAAAGTGTTGTAATCATTTCTTTCATAATGGATCTTTACAGGCCACAACCATAATTGTGTCACACAAACCCCCGTCAGATTTATAGAATACACACAATGGTGAGAGTCAGAAGAAGTGAATTCTATTTCTTATTTAATTTGATCTGTTTTTAGTGTTTGCAAACCACAGGGTTCTTTGAATCTGTGAAGTTCAGTGAAGAAACAACTGCTGTAAGAAGAAGAAAAAAAAAAAACCACCCCCACAATTATCTGATCAACTGTAACCCAGAGAGACGAGAAGAGAATGAAACCTGAATTGTCCACAATTGGAAATGCAGCGCTAACTTCAGCTTTGAGTCGTAGCTTTAACCAAAAACGTCTGGAGCTGCTCTGGAGGCAGAAATAAACCGACGCACAGTTTTAAAGGGAGAATCTGTGACTTTTCGATGGAATAAGAAAAACGATAATTGATCAAACGAGCAGCTGCAGCTGACGTCAGAGACGGACGGTGACGTCCTGCATTCGTCTGATGCTCACACTGCTCCAGAGCTCTAAGAGCCGCTAAAGCAGAGACGTTTACAGACGCTAGACATGACGCAGCCTTCACTGATTCGTGACGCTCCTATCACATGACCTCCTCCTTCCTGGAGAACTATGGACGTCAGTGTGACTGGACCTGTCGTCTCTGCTGTTCACACGTGGAGGAGACCAGATGATATTCAACCAATCGTGTGGACAGAGATTGTTTTAGTTTGAAACCTTTTCAGAGTCAGTTTTTCAGCCTCAGACGTATTTTTAAGTTAAAGTGATATTTTTCAACTTATTACTCGACTGTTATTACTTTGGAAGCTACGTGTTGGAATAAAAATCAAGTAGCTGTTAACTTCCTGTGTATTTTTGCCTCCAGAGCGGCTCAGACTCAAACAATGTCCGTGTGTTGAACGGCTCCAGTCGGGCATAAATCCATCACTTGTCCTGGAAGTGTTGCGTCCTCCTTCCTGTCTGTCACATCATCTGAGTTCTTGGCATGGAGTCCTGCTGGTGTGCAGGGTACCAGAGTCCAAAATTGTTCATATATCCCCCAGAGTGCACTGGTGCACCTTTGGCGACCATGCTGTTGTCCCACAGGGAGCAAGGCGAGGAGGAGGACGGCGGTGGGGGGGCTAGATGGTCTCCCTCAGGTCCGCAGGGTCCGTTCTTCATGATCTTCTTGTATTTAGATCGTTTGTTCTGGAACCATATTTTCACCTGAGGGACGAGGAGAAGGAAAGAGTCGATCAGAAGTGATTATCCACATACTGCATCTGGTCTTTTATTTTGAAAGGAGGAGAGACAGGAAGGAAACAACAGGACTGAAACAATCGAAGGATAAAGAGTTGAAGTAACGTTCAGATCCCGTCATGGAGAACGTGAAGAGTGACTGTCACTCAACAGGCGTGTTCTTAATCGAGATGTAGACTGAAGGTGTGATGATGATTTTATGTTTCAGCTTTTAAACCCAGTAACAAAACCGGTTCCCATCAACGCAGGGACATTAATGAATATTTCAAATATTAAAACCATGGAAAACAAAAATACGATGAAGTGTGACGAGGCTGCACTCGACTGTGGAGCAGGAGCAGGAGCAGGAGCAGGAGCAGGAGTAGGAGCAGGAGCAGGAGCAGAAGTAGGAGCAGGAGCAGGAGCTCAGATTCTACCTGGGAGAATATCAGCGCAGTAAAATAACCTACAATTAGGTAATAATGAGCTGTACAGACAAACTGTGGATCATAAAATGTTACAGCGTAACGAGCGACAGTTACAAACATAAATACTGTTCATAAAGCTGAGAATGACACACACACACACACACACACACACACACACACACACACACACACACACCTCTGCAGCGCTCCTCCACCGTCAGTGTTGAGAGACGACAGACACACCTGCAAACTGTGATGAGGTCCGACCAGGTGCCTTCCACTTAATGTGGCTCTGCACAGCAATGACGTGCACGTGACGCATCTTTACACAGTGCATGCTGGTCTTAACGCAATGCATGCTGGTCTTAACGCAATGCATGCTGGTTGGACATTTTGTCTGTGCAGATGTTTCCCCGCAGCTGCATCACCTGGATCACCCCCTACGACGACACAGCTCTGCTCTGATTGGCTGAACACATCACATGATGCAGTTTATGATTTTCATCTCCGTTGTCTGCTGTTTATTTCTCTCCAGAGAGGAGGAGATGCATGTATGTGTTAAAGCACATGTATGTATTTATACACACATGTGACTGGATCTACTCGTGGTTCAGATCAGAGAACTCGAGAGGCTGAAAACAGAATTATAGATCGTTGGTCGGAGATGGTTTGAGATCATTCGCTGCCCCTGCAGCCTCTGCACCTCATGTCGCAGCTGCACGTGTCCCTGCTCCGTGTCCCTGCGTCCGGCTGCTCTCTGGTTCTCTGGAGTCTTTTAAAGCCTTCGTGTCGGGACCAAGACTTCCAGCACGTTATTCTTACTGTTGATGAATCCTATGGTCCGTTACTTCACAGGTTTTCTGTGTTTCAGGTCAGTGGTGGACGGTGATTTGAAGTTTATTCAGGGTTATAAACCTGCTGAGTAAAGATGACATAAGATATAAAAATATTCAGCCGAGCGGCATCTCTCTGTGGTTACGGATGATTCGTGATTGGCATGTTCTCTGTTTCCAGCGTGCTTGCAAATTGAGCTTCACATTATACAAATCTGCCTCACAGGCAAACCTGTCGGCTTAGCGGGAACAAATGAATCATGAGTAATAACACGCAGTCAGCGAAGGAGACTTTTGTCTGAAACAGGTTTTAACTGCGCCGCAAAGGGGAAAAAGCTCTGGCCGACGACGGAGAAGAGAAAAAGATAAAAGAGCAAGAAAAACAGGAGAAAACATTCTTGGAGCTCAAGTTGTTTTCTCCTCCGCGCTGACAGTCCTGGGAATTATTACCCCGAGAGTTTATGGGGATTCATGGTTGAAGTGGTTTATGGAAGATTATATTATTCTATAAAAAAAAAAAATACGCTCGCCGGTTTAATTGACTCTAAATATGTGGAAAAAATTCTCCCTTTCACCAAGTAATGGACCAACTTTCACACCCAGCGCTGGATGAAGTCATGTAGAACGATGTGACATTTAATTTCATCTCTGTTGTTCCAGCGCATCTGTTGACGTCAATCACGACGTTATGGTGGCAAATACATAAAGTTAAAGTACTGCTTCACGAGTAGACAATACATTTTAATTACGCCACATAAAGGCTGTAATTATCACCGTGAACTGCACTTGAGGTTCTTTCAAGTTTCTGCAGAGTTGAAACAACAAACTGAGGCTCTTTGTTTAATCTCCGCTCTAATGCGATAGAAGTGACAGCGGCCGAACCACAGAGCCGTCAGTGGAATGATTACTGCATCAGAAAACTCCCAGTGAGCGGAGCGTCGCTGATGAGCCCACGAGTCAATCAACAGCACGTTAAGTTAATGCAGCCTCAGCGAGAGGATTTCTGCTGTAATTATTGGTTTCATATTCCAGCAGCAACACGGAGCTGACAGCTTCTCTGAGAGCGCAGCTAATGGCACCGACATCAGGGAGGAGGGAGGAGGGAGGAGGGAGGCCAAGACACAGGCCAGGTGCCTGTGTGTGTGTGTGAGTGAGAGTGTGTGTGTGTGTGTGTGTGTGTGTGTGTGTGTGTATGTGTGAGTGTATTCTCCAATAATTTATATCTGTAAATTAAAAATGTTATCAGTGGTGTCCTGTGAGGTTGATTCAGAAGTAAAAGGTGTGTGTGTGTGTGTGTGTGTGTGTGTGTGTCTGTGTGTGTATGTATGTGTSTGTGTGTGTGTGTGTGTGTTTCAGGGAGAATGTGCTACGTGCCATTTCTCAGCTGCGTCTGGGAACACTGGCGATTTTGAGGGAAAGTGCTCAGTGGTTGGCTGGCGGCCTAATGGCACCGAGGCAGGATTGAGATGTGGTATATGATAACTATCTTTTAGTGTGTGTGTGTGTGTGTGTGTGTGTGTGTGTGTGTGTGTGTGTGTGTGTACTAGGCCCTGCTGTGCAGCAACCGGCTGCGTCGTGAATGTTATCGTTCACGTGCTTTCTTCGGTCCTGTGCGAGTTACGCGTCAACGTTTGGCTGATTCCGGACGAGCGTGTGCAGATGTGTGCGATCTACAAGTCTTCCCCATTTCTGTCTCTGATTACGTGCCTCGCTGCTGCCCCCGACATTTTACGTGGGTACTGCAACTTGCGTACGCGTCGTGTCCATTTCTGAGGACGTGCACGACCTGAGCATCAAACACATGCAGTGTGAGCATGGCAGCCATCTTAAGTTTGTGTGGTAGAGGAAGTGTATTCGTGGCTACACGCTCTATAAACAGAATGTTTCCAACGTGCAACCATGGAAACAGGAAATGTTTTTTCCTGGCGTCTCAAAAGATTCTTTGTTTTATCTGAATTTCATCCACTCAGTTTCAAAATTAAGTTCAAAACTCTTAGTGACACGAATGTCTGCGTAAAACAATACAAACGTCTCGGGATGAAAAAGCAGAGTCGCTCACGTAGGAGACGGAGACAAAGACGTCAAGAGACATGTTGGTGACAGGAACAGGAAGCCGGAGTGTGAACAAAAACACGGGATCTCCAGAGAAGGACTGATATGTCACTTCCTGTCTCTGTCTGCTGCTTCCTCACCTGAACGCTCCGGAAGATTCCTGTGTAGTCGTGATCGCGTCTGAGCGAATGTTAGCGGTATTTTATACATGAGGGTTCGATGTCGGTGTGAACGCAGCCTGACGCTGGTTAGCTCAGCGTGGAGAGAAGAACCAGGCGGCGACAGGTAGTTTGGCAAAATCCAGCGAGCGGCAAGATGTTGTTTCGTGAAACAGTTTGAGCTTTTAGCAGGAATCGTGTCGTTCTCTGTGACTTCCTGGAAACGTGTTTCTCAGGATTCTGAACCTGTGTCAAATAATCACAAGTTCTCGTTCATTTTAACGTGAACTGAAAAGTGAAACATACAAAGATTCACTGACGATATTTAATATTTATAATATTTACAAACTGTGTCTGGATTCTTCAAACTACATTTATTTATCCTTTTACACTCGACTGTGTCAGTTTTCTGTCTGAAGGTCAGAACCTCGTTCCCCGGCTGAACGACCCCACCTCCGGAATATAACGAGAATTAAAGGTAAAGAATAAAAAGAGTAAAAACAAACGTGAGCAGCGTGCACGTACGAGCGTGCACATTCAAAACCACTTTCCACAACTAAAGCAAAGACAAATGAACGGATCATCTCTTAGTCCCAGTGTAAACAGAGCTGCTGCGGTTAATTCATTCTGGATTAGGACAGTTCATGTGATGACATCAGCTGCTTATGTACACACACACACACACACACACACACACACTCACACACGTGTCATATTTCACATGAGGTTCTCCCGAACACGCTGATATAAAGTTTCCTCGGTGGGACACCTGCTCACACCTGGTTAGTGATTTTTCAAATGTGATCTGGTCCCAGTTCATAATGTTTCTGTTAATGTTCACGATGAGTCAGACGAAACTGAATCTAGCTTTTTGTTATCGTCGTATAAAACTACAAAAACAAGTTTTCTCTTTTTCTTTTCTTTTTATCAATTTGTTGAAAAAAGTTAAAAAGGTTGAGACAGACTAATTGAAAGTTTTCCGGAGCAGCCGTCACAGTTAACTTTGGCTTAAAGAGAAAATTAATTATTATTTATTTAACATGCAGATAGCTCAGTTTGTCTTTATTAATAAACCAGTGAGCAGAAAAATCCAATATTACAGATCCTCTAAATGAGCCCGACTTCAATGTAAGCTGTCGTAAACATTCTACAGTCGCCTCAAGATGAAAGATAGTGTAACGCCAAGTTTAATTAAAGAGTAAAGTTTATTTTACCAAAGTAAAATGGAAAGAAATGTATTTTGTGAAGATTTAAAATGATTAAAATCTGCTGGAGTTAATAATCATTATTAATATTATTATTATAATTATTAGAAGTATGATAATAAAGTTTAGAGAGCTCTGTCGTTCATGGGATGGAGAAGAAAAAACCAGTTTTAGGGTCAAAGTGAAATAATAAAAGTTTAATATCAGAGTGTGTTCATCAGCGGGTTTTCCCAGAATTCCCAGATTGATCGGAGAAGAAAACATCAGAACTGTGTGAAGTCGACTCACAGTTGAACTCAAACTGAAACGAGTGAACCGAGGTGAATCGGAGACGTTCGGGTCATTGTGAGATTTCAGACGTCCACTCAACGACGTGGGACAAAATGGCCGCCATTAGCCTTTTATTTTCTGCTCGAGTGTGTGTGGACGTATAGGGACAGAGAACAGACACACTATTACACCCAGCATGTACTCACACACACACACACCTCACACACACACACACACACCTAAAACACACCTCACACACCCACACACAGGCGTGACTCCGTTTCTTTAGAATTTGCGATGCGCATTTCTGGATTTCTTGTCCTCAGCTTCTATTCTTTTCTCTTTTTGGATTTAATTCATGACAAACACACCATGACTACACTTCACGTGATCTTTAATTACAGGCTATCTCTGAAATCTCTGAAACTGCCAGTATCTAATTACACATGGAGGCAACTGTGTGACACCTGTGAGCAAGAATGCACCGGCGCCTGTTTGGACTTTTGTTCTGCCTTTTCACCACGAGAGGAAACTTTAATCTCAAATCCACTGAAACTATCTCGGACGTTTGGATTATGGATTCACTCCAACTCTCATTCACTTTGATTAAATGATAATGATCAAACTGCGGCTCAGGACACTCCCTCGTATGTCTCATTTAAACGTAGGGTGAGGTGACCCACACACACCCTCTATTACAAAAATTAGCAAACCCTTTGTTTATATTAGAAATACTTCCGCTTGTCATCATTACATGTGTTTTAATCTTTAGCTCTTAAATTCTCCTGATTGTTCTGCTGGCTTTAATCTGAATCCCCTTTCCTCAGGAATGAGCCGTGCTCCTCGTCCCGCTTATTCTGTGTGTGTCCTCCACCGTGTTACCTGGGTCTGCGTCAGGCCCAGCTTGGCCGCCAGGTCGGCCCGCTCGGGCAGGGCGAGGTACTGGGTTTGCTGGAAGCGCTGATTGAGCGCCTGGAGCTGGAGGCTGGAGTAAATGGTCCGAGGCTTCCGGATCTTCTTTCCCTTCCCGTTCAGCCTCACCTCCCCGTTCTCGATCACCGCGGTGGGCTTGTCCTGCTCTGGAGACGAGAGAAGACACAGAGTCAACGCCGGGATCTGGGGACAAACGTTTGACTTGACTTGTCCAATAAAAGTTCTCAAACTTAGTTGCTCATGAAAAATCTGTCCTCCAGAAGGTGTGGAAGATAAATGATGACTGGGTAAACTCAACCCAGCGTCTGGATCTGGAGGTTTAGTGAGATGAGAACTTGTGCTGGTGGATGTTTCATGAATCCAAGCTGTCATCATCTCAGGGAGAGATATGCTGTTTACAAGCGAGCTGGAATGTACATACAGCAAAGTACAATGGAGTATACGACACGTTTACTGCAGTTGAATGAGCGCGTACGACAATGGACGCGTGTTAGAACGTAAAACTTCTTTGTCCTCTCTAATGAGTTGGGTTCGGAGATGTTCTGTCCAACATGCAACTCGGACAAGACGTCTTTTTCGTCTCCGTCCTGCCTTTTTCATTTTCAGGAAACCTATGCAACTGAGTATGTTGGCCCACACTGATTGTTGTTATGACATGAGCTCATAGCCTGTAGTGGCAGCAGAGAACAGCTGTGGACGAGCCGAGGCCCCACAAGACGATCACGTTGTGTAACTGAGCTGAAGCTCGTGCGCGGCGCCGAAGTTCAGGGGAGCGAAACTGAGACGCTCCGCAAGTTTCAGAAAAGAGAAATAGAAGCTTTACTTCAGAAAACAAAACAGAAGTGGGCGTAAATGTTCGACTGGAACAGTTACGATAAAAATTTACTGAGTCATTTTTTGAAATTCCACAAAGTTCACTGGAAAAAAGCTTTTTCTTCTTCTGCCATTGTTTCTGACCTCATTAAGACCCTGTTCATAAAAACAAGCAAAATCTATTTATATATATAATTATATGATCCCATATATACTGTGTGTATGTATTTGTGTGTACATATATATATTTTATACATCATGTGGAGACAAGCTGAGAGAAGAGAGGAACGTTTGTCGCTGACATCGATGTTTAAATAATCTTCTGAAGTAACTTTTTAACTTTATCTCATGTAAAGTGATTATATCATGTACATATACTATGAGCGTTAATTAGATTCCAAAGGATTTTTTGAAATGTAATTGTCACAAAATGATTTTACGTGTTAGTTGAGTATTTATTTTATTTAGAGTGACATTATTTTATGTATCACGTGAAAAAACAGTCGAGAGAAGAAGATGAAAGTTGATTTGATGCTGATATTGAAAACTTTTTGAGACTGAGCCTCAAACACAAGTTGGGATGAAATGACTTAATCATTGTTTTCTGTATAAAACAATACAGAAGTAAATGTTTAAATTATATAGATATATATATATATTTAAACATGTATTTATCTGTAGGCACCAGCATCAGTTTCTTGTGGTTCCCTTAGTTTTGTTAAATTTTGTTAATCGGAAAAATTCAAGACATAAAAGTTTCTTGAAAAAGTCAAAGGATTAATTAAAGAACACACGAGGATGAAATCAGCAGTTAAACCGTTTGCCTGTCAAGTATTTCTGTAATTGAATGTGCATTTAAAGACCTATGTAATAATGAGTTAATAGGAGCATGAGGATATGATCGACATCTGTTGGTAATTAATAAACGTTATGATCTTTGTCAGCCTCTTCCGCCTCTGTTAAAATGTTCAGAGGCTCTAAACTAAATATTTGAAATATCTGAGCGATGTTGGATCTGATATTAAATATATTAATGGGTCCAATAAATATTATAATTATTCATTTAGTTTCTGTCTTTGTCAAATGCTCATAACATTTAGTTTTTTTTAGGTTTAATGGGGTTTTATTGTTTTTTTAATGCAACATTTCAGAGAAGTTTTTAAAACTATAGTTTACTGTATTTTAAATAGAATAACCTGCTTGTCATATTTTGTGGAATCAAATGTTCTGAGGGGAAATTAAATCTCTTTTCGCAGATGTGGTGTTTTTTAAGGATTAGAAGGAACCTGACATGGTTCAGTGGAGATTCGAGTTCAGTGAAGTAGAGAACACGTTTTGTTGAAAGTGACATGTATTATTATTATTATCATAATCATCTGATCCAGGCCTGGCGGCAGGCAGCAGAAACATGGCGGCTGCTGTGATGGAGGATTTGGGGTTGGAGAGGCCGCAGCTCCCGGGGCCTGCGGGACACCACAGCCCGGTGCCGGCTGCTTCTTGTGGGGACTCAGATTCTGGTTCAGGCCTTAAACTCATCTTCATCTCCAACCCCAAAGTTTACTGAGGCGAACCTGTGTGTGGATCCAATTACTGCGCTGTGGTTTATTCTCGTGTGCTCAGACTATTGAAATCATCTGTGAAGAACGCTTCTCTGCTCTGTGCGCTTTGTGCCATCACAGACCTCCAACCGTCACAGAGCCTCGAACACAGGCTGCAGAGAAACTCACGTGCATTAACAATTTACTGAGTCAAATCCAAATAACCTAAACAAGGTGATTATGATTATTAGATTTCTTTCCTGCAGGTCTCTCTGCTTCAATCAGCCCCACGACGGAACCTGAGTATTGGGCCTGAGATCCACGTGTGAAATATTTAGAGCCGTTCGTGCAAACACTCTTATTTTCGCCCCCTTTCTTTAAAAGTGTCCTGCGTAAAACCCACCTCCATCCTCCAGCCTGGTGTGGCCCAGCGCGCCGCCGTGACCCCCGTGTTGGTACTGCAGGTAGGCCCCCGGGTGGTGCGCGCTCACGGGGCTGTGGTAGGGCGGGTATCCCAGCGGGCGACCGTACGAGGACGCCCCGGTGGCGAAGGGCCCGTCGTGCTGCGCCGGGCCCACGGCGTGCAGCCCGTGCACCGGGTAGTGGTTGTGGGACAGGCCGGGGGAGGGCTGCTGGTGTCCGGGGTAGCTGTGGCCGCCGAACTCCAGAAAGGCGGATTTGGACGGATCAGGCGGCACCAGAGTGTCCGAGATGGAGCTCATAGTCATCATTAGGCTGAGGGGCAGTGGTGGTGGGAAATAACAAGCCGCCAGCTAGGACCTCCGGGCAGGAGTCATCACCAGGAGACCCACCATCAATGTTCCAGGAAGTTTTTAAAAACTTTAACAGGCGAGTTTCTGTGTCCACGCACCAGCATGAAGCGTCTTCACGCTGGAGCTCAGTGTCCTCCGGGGTGTGTGGGGACGAGGAGGCCGGCGAGGAGCTGCTGTATGTGGGTTCGTCCACCGCTACATCCCGGCCGAGGGCTCCGGAGCGCGCGCGGCGTCTAAAACCATGGAGTCCCGCAGAGACGCGCAGGACGCGTGAGCAGGAGCCGGCGCGTCACTGTGCGCGGGAGGAAAACCCAGAAGAACCTTTGAGAAGAATCGAGAGAATTATTGTTTCAGACCAAACTGCTTCTCCGCGTCTCTCCGTCCAGAACCAGCCACAGACTGCTGCTCCCTCCCCGCGCGGCGAGGCGGCTCTTTGTGCGCGTTCCTCCCCTGTCTGCTCAAACCATCCTGCGCCTCCACACGCACGACGCGCTCATTGGCTGCAGCGGCTCACCGTGTCACACACACACACACACACACA